TTTGAATTGGGTAAATTAAAATTGTCAAAATAATTATTCACTAAATAATTTACAGTAAAAAAATGATTAGGACTCTATTTTAAAAACAGAAGCTTGTATCATCTTAGAACACTAAAAATGCAGTAAAGATAACCTCAAAAATTTCCAAATATGGCCTTTAAGTATCAATAAAAGTGTAAAATTTTAAATCTGAATAAATTCATTGTCAAAAAATGGTAGTGAGCCAGTACATTGTACTATTACCGTTAGCGTCGTACCAATAAAATGTGATCTGTCTGGAAATTAAAAAGTCATTCTTATACTATACGTAGTGGTCGGCAACCGGTGGCCTGCGCGTCTATTTTATATTAACGGCCTGACGAAATTTAATTTTATATTATATAACTATATATATAATAAAATTTCAAAAATATTCAATATAAATAATTTAACTGCACATATTTTTATTTAATCAGTCATGATAAAATATAACATTATGTGGTAGTATAGTGTATGAAATTTTTCGTTTATATTGAAGTATACAAATTAACTTAACATAAAATTACAAGGTAAAAATCAATTTATTCTTGATATGTGATCTCATATAAAAATTGTTTGAAACTAAGTTAAAACTTTTACGGTCTCATATTGAAATAAATGAACTTATACATTTTCCAGCATGTATAAGTCTATTTGAATCGTCGAAATTCTCATTTTCGACAGTTAAGTTTGTTGAAAGTATTTTAACACTTCGATATAAATTTAATAAACGTTTTCAAGATTTTAAACAATGTTTACAATATTTAATATTACTTTTAAATGCATTGAATATAGATATTAATGAAGTTCCTGTTGATCTTCAAATGGAAATGATAGGTTTACAATCACAAGATACTCTTAAAAATTCATTTAAATATTCACCTTCGCTATTTTTTGTTGAGCTCTCTTCAGAATTTGCAAAAATAAAAATAATAGCTACAAAATACTTAAGTATGTTTGGATCAACATACGTATGGAACAGGCCTTTTCTCACATGAAAAAAAGTTAAAAACCAAATTCAGTCATGATTAACTGATGACCACCTCTATCATTTAATAGAACTGGTACAAGTAATTTTGATGTAGTAATTGAAAAAATCGTGAGCAAAATCTAACAGCAAAAATCGCATTAAATATATTTTCATACAATTATAATTTCCACACTATTATAAAATATTATTTTATTTTATTCAATATTAAAATTGTATTCTTGAAAATTTCAAATTAAATAAATATAGCAGTATCTTTCTTCATAATAAATAAATAATAAAGGTATGAACTTTTTATTTTTGTGCGATCCATGAAACTTTTTACATTTGTGAATGTGGCCTGAGACTTCAGAAAGGTTGCCGACCACTATATTGCAAATAGAAAATCATAATGTTTTGTGTCGGTCAAGATATTTGGGTATTGTTCCGGAAGAGGTAAAGCTTTATAATACTTAATAATACAGTGATCGTGTGTATGTATATTAAATTCAGTCGCGTCGTAGTCTAGATTATATTTATAGAGCACTTGTGGAATTCGTGGAATGATTGTTGACGTCATGTAAATGATAATAATAAGCAATAACCCATTACACGTCTCAGTTATATTATGCGTATAAAAAAATACAATATTTACACATTTTATTATTGTAAAATATAAGTGGTTTAGTGTACCAGATGATGGTACTTTATAAGAAAATATGCAAACGTAGAGTAGAAATATTTTAATTTTTATAAACTATCAATAATTATTTAGTCGTTAATGTTAAGATTCGAAGCGGAGCAACGAATAAAATAATTTTACAATGATATGGTTTTTAAAAAAAAAATATATTATATGTTTGTTATCATATTTTGGAGCAGTAAAATTCAATTAAATTTACAATTTTAAGAATGATAGAAAAACGTTATGATTTAAAATTTTCATAAAATATTAGGATTTACTAGACACAATACAATTTTTTAAAACGGTTGGCTTATTTTAAACTATTTTAAGATTAATATATTATGGGTCCATCAATTTTAAGACTTGGTGGTAAGCTCGATATTTAAGTACTAGGTTCCAAATTTGTAAAAAGAAGGTAAGAAGTAGATACAAGAAGTCATATACTACTAGTTTTTATTATTCAGTGTTGAACAGGGAAAAATAAAACTGAGCCTACTATTATAAATATAATATTTACAAATTACAACATTTGTTTGAGATTTTCAAAAAAAAAATGATTTATATCCATATTTTTTTGGTAGGGGTGTTAAAAATTTTAAAAGAGTTTCTGTATATAATCGCTTACACGTTTTACTATCTTCTTGAATAGAATAGGTCAGGTAATTTAAATAAAGTTTCATTCAAATAGAATTTTATTAAAGTAAAGAGTGCCTATTTTATAAATTATAAACAGTTTATAAATGATAAGTGTCTCAAATTAATTTTAATTTTAATTTCTAATGTCGTTTTTTCACTTGTTTTAATAGGTACTCACACTTGATCTGTGATAATTAAGTTTGAAAAGCAATATTCCTAATTGATTATTTCATACTTCGATAGAGTCTTAAAGATCCATATAGAACTAAAAAAGCTAAATTTGAATTTTAACATTTGTGTAAGTATCAAGTATATTTTATTAATCATTATATTGGTGTAGATAATTGTGTAGTTTATAACAGTATTCAAACTATACGTGTAATATAATTTAATAGCCATGGATTATTTCAAATTTTCTTTTCTTTACATCATGTTAACAATAATTAATATACCTTAACTACGTCGGCACCTACAGCATAGGTTCTATATGAATAATTTGATACTAAACTTGATACTTAAATTTATGTATATTACCTATACTTTTACTAATATTATTTTATTCTGTGCTAATATTATGTGTTTGACATGGATTATTTTTCGTATTTCCTTTGAAATGCATATTATAATAGAATATTCACCTATATGTTCTTATCATAAAAAATTATCGTCGTTAATTTCACGTAAAGCCGAGAACATTCGTAATTTAAATGAAATCAGCCAACGTATACCAAAATCAAGTCACGCATTTATGGGCGATACACGATTTTTGTTTCCGCGTAAGTATAAGTCTGGTAAGCGTATATCACGTTCGACACGTTCTTAACTTCTAACCCGCCACGCATTATCTTTGTAGAATTGCAGAAAAAAATTTTCAATGTGTCCTGCGCAGTTCTCACACGCGATTATTATTCAACAGTGTTCACAAATTTTACTATTTTAACGATATTTTGATATTTCAAAGTTATACGATGTTTTTTTTCACCTACATTTAGTATCACTACGGAGTAAGAATGGTAAAAATAGTCGATTATTTTCGTCCTAAAATCACTTTATTTAGTCGTTGTTAAGTATTACCTATGCTACACTCGCCAGACGACGCAGAAATAACATACTTGGCCGAGTAAATGAGAAATATTGTTTTGACACGTGTCAGGGATGCGCACTGGGTCAATTTTTTTATTTTTCCGTCCAAAAATTCATGTCCCGAAATAAACATTACGACTATTCCAACTATAGGAAATGACTAATGCGTTTCACCTGAATACTCCATTTATTCAACTACTCCGACTAGTCAGCTGTTGGGAAATAATATTAATTACAACATTGTCGCAGTACGGTCGCTGGTGTTAAATCGAAGATTTACAGTAATAAAATAAAACATGTATTTATTTAATATTTAATATTGATTATTGTTATATTCATCGATGCGACTGTTGTTTTTCCCCAACCCATCTTATGAAATCGAGTCAGATAAAAATAAATTATTTATAAAAACACATGTTTAATTGGAGGTTTTGAATAAAGCCAACTTATACACTACACTCTTAGAATTTCTGCAAGTTAAAATATCTACATAAATCAAATATCTACATGTTATTTTTGGATCGACAAGGTTATACAATTACATTTTTTCTTTTGTTTATGTGTAATTAAAATAAAACCGCATTGGTTTTGGTCTTTTAACATGGAAGTTCATACAAGTAGGAACATCGGCTCTAAAAGTAACAAATAACAAGTACAATAGAATAGATACTCAAGTACAAATATATTTATTATTATGACATTGTTCAGAAACGATACATTGTTGTTAAGAATTATACACTGGAAATGTTGGAAATTTTTTTTAAAATTATTATATAATATGTTCATTGGTAGTAATCATGATTTTTTTCTTACAATAAATTACATAATATAGTTAGGTAATTACATATCATGAAGTTTTTTGAGAAAATTTTATCTGTTCCAACGAATATTCCATAACTTCAAAGTTCAATTTACATATTTTTAGGATAAATGTACAATTAGAAAATATTTTATGGTGAAAGTGATTTAAAAGAATGTTAACATTTCAAAGGTCAAAATTTCGTTTAGTTTCCCAACATTCCCATACTTAATAAAAAATATTTAAGTGAACACACTAAGTTTGTAACATCATAACGTTCTTTCTTTACCCAATAAATCGAAATGAAAATTACAAAATATATTTTTATGGTATACAATAAATATTATATAATTCGCTGAATCCCTAGAACAATATCTGCCAATAGTAATAAATAAAAAATAAATAACAAAACAAAAAAAAAAATAAAAATATATATATATAATCACAGAAAGAGTAGGGGTTTAGCTACTGAAAAAATATATTTGTCTATTGTGAATTCGTAAAATGAAATTTTTGAGCGTGCGTTTGCGCCTATATTGTATGACTGCGTGAAAATTTACATTTTTTCGCTTTCCCCCGTCTTCATTACGAACCACAGTTGTCCAAATAACATGCACGAGTATAATATAATATAATATGTCACAAGCAATATTGCTATACTATTACATTTTTTTTTTTTTTTTTTTTTTTATCAATAAATATCATAATATATATAAAAAGGAACTATGTGACATTTATTTATACCGTATAATACCAGGTATTTATATAGAAAAGTCATCATTTTATAATACAAATTGTAAAGTTTTATATATACTTATAAATACAAACATAGGTACAAACATATATATATATATAATAATAATATAGCTCTGAAAAATAATTTTGAATCGCGAGGACGTGGTGATCATCTCACGAACGACATAGCTGAAGGTACAACAGCGCGTTCTTGCTTTTTGGTTTATGATTTTTGGATTATTATATTTTACATAGAAATAAAAACGTGTATGCATCCGGTTGCGTGTTATTGTATCACACAACACCTGCATTTTGGTTTTTTCTTCAACACTACGTGTTCCACTTGGGAAGGCTCGTTTCCATTTATCACAGTTCCTATATACGAAACAAAAATACATAATTATTTAATCAATTAGAACAAAATGCTCAGAAAATATTTATACAACTTTATTTGCTTAAATTAAGATTATCTATCGAAAAAATAAATTTTTTTATGTTTATATAAATATAATTTTATTCCATTGTAATTTCAAGTGATATCAACGTTTCGTGTATAGTCTTATAAAATAAAAGTCATGAACACGATTTAAAAATTAATTTGCGTTATTATCGAAGAATCGTAGTTAAATAGGTACTTATAGGATAATTTACTTATATACGTAGGTACTAATGGTATTGACTAAACATATCGTTAAGAATATTTTAACAATCTACGTAAATAAATCCGTTAATACTTAATAATCTTTAGATTTTCATTGACAGGTTTATCTCTCAGTGTATCTATATCCCTTTAGAGTTAGTCAACGAGCCGATAAATTTACAAACAAATAACTATCGGTATGAACTGTCGAATAATCCAGAAATTAATAATTAAGAACAGTAGTGTCGATTGCATTGTAAAGGAAACATTTATACACGAATTTATACATATTAGTATGTAGTCAGATTTTATAACGAATAAATATATTGTTATTATTTATCAGTCTGACAGAATCATCTGTAGTCGTTCTAGATCCGTTAGTCTAGAAAAGATCGTTGCGGGTTTCGTGTGTAATTACCTCTTTGGACTTCCACATTGGGTGGTACCGCGTTCTTTTCATTGCACGTTCCGTTCGCCTTTGTTGGCGTGGACGTCACCGGCTGTTGGTCATGTTTGACGTCCGTGCTATGGTCAGGCAATAGCGGCGACGTAGCACTCGTGGGCGTCGGCGTGATCGGTTTGCCTTCTTTAATCAGTTCGACTATCTGGTCAGCTTCTTTGGACAAGTCACCGTCCGGTCTGAAAGGATTATCCCAACCGTCCGAACTGTAACATAAATAAAAAATAGGATTAAAATACGTGCGTATAGTGAAACAACAATGTAGAATGAAAACGATGAGAATATTTTTGATACAACGTTGGTCGCGTTGGATAAATAGTATATTATAAAAGAGAGAACGCGTAGAGTCGATCGCAGGAATTCCATCAGCGACACTCACTAGCCGGTGCATTAAAAAGGTGCATGGCAGGAAGAGGGAACCAGGTTCACGGACCATTGCCGGCTCACCGAACCGTGATGGTTGTCCATGAAAAATCTCATATATGATAGGTAACAATGATGATCATCGACACTATAATACACGAATACGGCGGTTTAGTAATTACTATCAAAACATTCGTTTCTAAAATGCAATTTACCATTACAAACAAGCGACTTGGGTTTTGTTGTCGAACGTCGAACAAATAACACGATTCATGGCATAATATGCAATATTATGTATTAATGCATAATAGACATGAGATGATATTAAAAAGATATTGTTATACAATAGCATCACTATCAATCAGAAGAACCCGTTGTATCGTATGTTTGAAAGTAAAATAACATTTCCATGCGAAAGAACGCAAAAACAACAAAAGAAACATTAAATAAAATAATTTCATTGAACAAAAATTATTATCTTATCTCGATTTACTCTATTTTTAAGTACTTTAAATCTTCTATTGTGCATAACTTCAACAAGAACACTTAAACGTTTTGAACTATAGATGGTTCACATAACAATATTTTACCGTTAAAAAATAAACGTAGATAATGCATTGGTATATAGGTAACTTTTTAATTTAATCTAGCATAGATCTATTTGGATGAAGTAAATTTTTTAAAAATCAGTTGAAGTTAATATAGATTAAAATATTTAAAAATTCGTGACATTTGTGTTTCATCAATAAACAGGCATTAAATTTATATTTGAAATTAAAAATAAAACTAATGATAACAATAGGATAAAAACAATATAATTTAATCGTGAAACAGAATTTTATATAAATTAAATGAGCTGTTATGAAATTTTCTCAATGATTTGAAACGTAGCAAAATGTCATGCTATTGTTAAGTCACAAAATATTAGTACAACCAAAGTTTGCCAGCCGTAATTTATCCATCAGCCTATACTCATAAAACTTTGGGATAATTTCGTCGGCTTGAAGGTTGACCTTTAAAAAGGTGTGGTCGTCGTTTGGCATTCAAAATAATGTACAGCGATTTCGGACAGCAAAAGGTCTCGCCCACGTTTAATTGTCATCAATCATCATGAAAAACACTTAAAATAAGAAAAAATTTATGCGCCACTTTTATGCTGATACGAAAGATATTGATGCATGCGGCGGACTGACATCGCATCTAGTTCTACTATATGAGTGGACAACAAAATATTGATTACAAAAATCAGTTATATGATAACAATTATAGGTACAGGCTCTACAGGATAAGGGTTTTTAAAATTTTAAAAACTCAAATGAACACAAACGATTGGATGTTTTCCAAAACTTCGAATAAATCGATTAACAAAAGAATTTATATAAAGAATTTAAAGTCTGAATTGTTACTCATATTAGTTTTAGTCGCACGTATAGTGAAATGTTGGTTTTATTTCGTTCGCACGATAACCCTGAATCTATATTTAATTCACCAAGACACCCCAAGTATTGAGCACGATAACACACGTCAAGTAGTAACATATTGCATATTATACTGTATGGTCATACACAAATGAACACCACATTTGTAAATAATAACACATCATAATATTATTGAATACAATAGGTACAGTAATACTAATACTAATACTAATACTAATACTATTACTAATAATAATAGTAAGAGTCTCAGTTTGTGAAAACACGAATACAAGTAATTGCAGCGCAGATCTCTGTTGAATGTTTTGACAGCCGATGTCTGTTACACTCTGTATACCATAGTGGTATACAGTGGTTACGCGGTTTAATTTGACATGACTTCGAGGGGGGCAGGAGGGGTATACACGAAATCAGAGTTCATGTCGCGTGAAACGTCGGTGTAAGTGTCGACTCTGTGTTTAGACTGTCACTATTCAAATTATATTTCGTATTTTTTTTTTTTTTTATATCGATATCGGCGAGCGTTGAAGATATCGTAACGTCGTTCAGGATCTCTTCGATCTCGCGGCGTTCTCCAAACCTTTGAGCTCTCATCGTAAATGGAATTTACCCTAAGCGGATCAACACCGCCGTATATTACACTGCCGAAATCAAGAATTATTTAAGACGAATTCTCACTCCAAATTCAACGGCGACAGCGTGCGCTTTTCTTCCAGATACTTGTGCGAAGCCGTGGCCGACACGTAGTCCAGAGTAGGGTCGTCCTTGGGCACCTTGACCACATAGTACAGCACACCGCCATGGGAAGCGGTCATACTTGTTGGCATGCCGTGCGTGTGGAGTTTGTCACTTATCTGCTGTTATTGTGAGTGGCGCGAAAACGGCGAACCTGCGAGCGTCGCGGACGCGGCCTGAAACACGGACTGACGAAGACTGAGGCGAGCCGCTACGGTTGGCGCGCGCGCGCGCGCGCTGGCGGCGGTCCCCTTCTCACGATCGCCGCCGTCGTTAGGATACCGAGTCGAGGCGGCTCACAATCGATAGTATCGTTGCACCGGCTCTCTCGCAACATCGATAACGGTTGCCGACGACGACGCCGGTGGCTTTTTTCACCACGCCGAACGAGAACCGTCACGAGCGCGATGTGCGCATGATTGCACGTATTCGGCGGTTGCTGATGCTATTGCCGCTTGTCGCCGCTCTGCTCCCTCCCTCTTCACCGCCCCCGCAACCACCGCTGCAACGGATATCGATTGTTGTGGCGTTCTTGTGCGGCGTGTGCGTGTGTGGGAACGTATACAATAAACGACGAGCAGGTGACGTAAGCGCTGTGTTACGATGGCGTCTCGGTGTCGGTAGTAGTATTACGGTATAATGGTTGTAGTAGTTATACCGCGCCGGAGGAGAGTGAAATGGGGAAAGGAGAAGACGTTTTTATGGTACGACGGGTGGTAACTATATTATATTAGATACAGGTGGGAAGTGTGTTGGTTCTAGATTTTACGACGCACATAATATGGATGGGTAAGCTCTCCAAAAGGTTGCGCGCGTTTTTTTTTTACGCGGTTTCGTAGACGAATTATATAAAAAGTCGGTCATGAGAAATTTTCCCGATAAATATAATATTCCTGACAGATCGTCGTTGACCGTACGTTATATGATTAACAATATAATGCGAGTTGTAGGTGTCACTATATATTATATACTACCCGCGATTGGAAGTCACCGAGGACGGAATGAAGAACAGCCGTTTAATACCTTATCGCGATATCCAGGCCAATCCGGTGTCCAAAATAATTACAATACCGATGCACGGCATTGGTATTTAAAATACCACATGTCCTACTGACCTATACGGGTACATTAATGAAGTCTCACTTTAACCACGGGTGGTTTATTATATGTATACGTTGTTTGTTAGACAAATTACTATGATATTGTTAATTAACCATTCTAGTTGTATTGCCGTTTTTACTATGACTATAATGTTTGAGACTGTTTTATTATTCGAAAACAATACTCTTTCATTCATCTTCGAGTTCAATTCATACCAAGTATTAATGTAACACGAACATTTTTATGTCAAACATCAACATCTCTTTTTATACTTTTATTTTTTAATGTTTAATAAAATATATTTATACAATTCGTTGACTCGTCTACATCAAAAGTTCTAATACTGAAGTGTTGGGGGCGACCAAATACAAAAATGAAAAAAATAAAAATAATAAGAGTATACCTAATTTAAAGAAAATAATTTATAATATTATATATATATATATACTAAAAATATAACGAGTACCTATTAGGCATTTATCGCCTCACCCATTTAGGTAGGTATATTATTATTAAAAAATTAGTCACATACATAAAAAAAGACACAACACTTTAAAATACTTTTTTAGTTAAATTTAATTAAAGACTAATATACTTCGTAAAATTCGATATTTCTAGTCACTTTTCTTTCCGCGTGGGGATAATTTGAAAATGCAGTTTTCTTAAGCATAAATTTTCATTTAGGTATATTGAAATTAAATAATAAAAAACAAAACTTGTCGTCGTATTTGTGAAAATATTCATGGAACTGATGGTAAAATTAATTCTATTTCTCCAAAAATAAAGTTTCAATGCCGCTGTGATCGTTGAAATAATATTTGCAGTCATAATATTTGGTTTTTTTGCGACTAAATTATGATTAGCTCCACATATTTCTACACTAGATTTCTGGCAAAACGAATTGTTGTTTGAGGTCGTATCGAAATGTCCTCGACTAACACTAAAAACGTATCAAAGCGTATCTTTGCCGCGTCTAGGGCGACAAGTGTTATTACTTTAGCGTATAATATTATCGAGCATCGAGATTAAAAATGGTTTGGCCAACACTTCTCACGTGTGTTATATAGTATCGGAGGCCCCTGGTAGGGTCGTTCAACCGTCTGGACAATGGTAGCTAATTTAAATTGGCCACGAATTCACTTGTTATATAAAAATAGTAATCGTTACAATAATAGATGATGAGATTTGCACAGGACTTCACGACGTACTCTTATTGTCTTGTGCCGAAATAATGGCAGACACAATGATGATGTAACACGCTTCAAAACACTCAACAGACTGGGCTTTTATATACTCGTACTTACTACAATATCTGTCGTCACTTACCTAATCTGCGTTTGGACGTGGCCGTTTGACCTTTGTAGTATAGGACTTGAAGTGGTCATCGTGCTGTCGCCAAATATTTCCAACGATTTTGGTGGTGAAGGTAGTACGCAAGGTTTTTCGGATTCGAAAAAGCTCACACGGACTTTAGTGGACGCAACAGTACTGAAAACAAACAGAAAATCGATTAAACTCGTGGCTCGACGGTTAAAAACGAAGAGCATAATATTATATATTATGATGTTTGACCTATTTGTGTCTCTAATTATAACTCCAGGCGTGCGCGCTTCTCTCCAGATGACGTCCGGAGGAAATGCGAAAATAAACACGATTTAAAAATATTTCAAATGGACCGTTTCCAAATTGGACCACATCCAAAGCCTCACAAACGCGACTCCAAGGTCTCCAGAGCAGAACGAAACAGTGAATCACTACCACATGGCCTCTGGCAGTGGTGATCGCATAGCATTTTATCGTCGAAATAAGACTAAATCGCGTCCCTATATCGCTATTATACCTGCAAAACGATTATCGCGCAAACAATGTGATCGTATAAACATGTAGTGGATTATTTTGGTTGTCAGCGTTTTATGACGCACACACTGTTATAATTGTGTAGTACGGCGGCGGCGTGGGCTGATCATAACTCTATTAATTATTGCGTATGTTTGTGTCGGGCGGAGGTTTAGATGGTATAACGTCGGAACTCTGGTGGAGGTTAATTAACATAATATACAGACAGAATAGAACAACGTGGGTCATAAATATTATAGAAATAATAAACGCAAGGCTGATTATATAGCACTAAGCATTTGACCTTGTCGACTGTTACGTGGCTCGCCGCGGCGCGCACACATAACGTGAAAAGTTTTGATCACCACCTATATCTATCTATATACGAAAACACGGCGGCCGTGTACCGCTGTTTACGCGCCAAAACGATCAGATTACAAAAAATAATTCCCGTTTGGCGAGTGCAATCGCGTCGGACCTTTTTTTGATTTATAGCCGTCAATATATAGGCGAGTAAGTATAGTACGAGGTGAAAGTATATATTTCCATTTACGGGACTTTTGCTTTTCGTATTGCAGCTGATAATGATAATATGTGGGCAACACGTAGGGCTGGAAGGCCGGAAGGCTGTTAAATAACGGCCACTATAATATATTATTAAAGCCAAACCGGTCGGGCCGGCTTCCCATATGCCGTGACATCATAATATCGTCATCGTCATCAACACTTTCGTAACTCCCAACACGAAAGCGGTTTACACACATAGAGAGGAGGAGTTATTGGACGTTCGAACCCCACTTAAGGCTTTTTCGCTGTGTAAAAACATGTAAAAATGTATATTGATCAGACCGCTTTAACAATAATATTATCGTGTATTTATTTGTATGCCACCGTGTAACGGTTACGCGCTACCGCGGGAAAACGAGATTGGCGGCGGCTCGAAGGGACCTTTCCTCGCGCGGCGGAAACGTAAACAAACAAACCCAAACAATAACACTCACCTATATGGTCGTCGCGGGTTTTTTCGGTGGCGCTATCCCGCGGTCGTGGTATCGATTCGCACTGATCGTCGTGGGCGTGACCGGCCGAAAGCACAACACGAAAGACGCGCGCGATATCGAATAATTTTTTTAATAACAATTGTCGTAAAATAAATAATTGAGAAAAAAGCGCAACAATGACGACGGTAAAACTGATCGGAGGTTTTTCTCGGGCGGCGCGCTGAAAACAATAACCGTTTCTTCAAAACAACGATCGCGGAACTGCGAGATCATCCGGAGGAAACGACGACAATAGCCGAGTGCATCTGACGTACTATTGTTGTCGCGCCGCCGTCGGCACGACTGCTGCACGGGAGTCGGTTATGAATGGCGTGCGCGCACCACGAAAAATGGCTCGGCAGTCGGCGTCACTGGTGCGAGTGTCGTGAGGGACGGGACCGGGGAGAGAATCGGAGGATTCGAAGGCAGCCACCGGTGCGCAGTGTTGCCACTCGGGCTGGCGCCGCACTATTCGACGTTTCGACGTCGTTGGCCAACGAATTCGCCTTTCTTCGCGATACAATATACCCGTGATCGTCATTATTTTATAATAATAATACGCGTAAAAATTGCCATCACTCGTTTGTCAATCTTTATTAAAGTGCAACGAACCGCTCAAGCCAGTTCTTCGCACTACCCTGTTGCACTTTTCCTCCCAAATTGATGTATTGATGTTGCGACGGACGACGACGATTTCGATCGATCGAAACGCAGCGAGCTACTTTATTGTTATTGTTCCTCAGTAATACCAAATCGTACTCTTGCATACAAATCGAATTAAAGTTTAAATTGTTCCCTTCGACTATTTATTTTTTTTTAATAACATGAAAATACTTTGGTTTTATAAATGTCCATGATAGCTTTTTTTTTTATTTTAACACATCCGTCCACTAAGTGGGTGGTCCTCTCTAAATGGTAGTAAATATGATATAAAATGAAAATGTACGAAACTTTTTCATGAGATATAAATTGATTTCATAACTTTATTAGTTTGAAATATTAAAATGTCAAAATTATGTTTAAAAAAAAAAATGAATAATGATTTACAAATAGCAAGTATAATATTTTACCTGCATATTATGAAGGATTTTAAATCACTATCAATCCAAACATATATTTTATAGATATATTATTTTCTATTCTACATAATATATATAGTCTATTAAGTTAAATATATAACAACGATATTTTAAAACTGATAAATTAAATAAGCTTCATCACTCAAAAAAATTAATAATTATGTATTGTGAATAATATTGTTAAAATGTACGATCGACTAATTTATTAAATTAACTATAATTCAAAGAGCAATTTTTTGGACTATTATAAGTGGTATAATTTTTACTTGAAACGTTTTTTTTTTTTGTATATCACTTATATAAAACTATGGTAATGATATTTTATAATTTTTAGTACCTAAATGGATGTTAAATTATATATACTTAATACGCACATGCACCAAACTATGGTAATGAGATTTTTTAATTTTTAGTACCTATATATTATGTGGATATTAAATTATATACACTCAATACGTACACACATGCACAAAACCGGCTTTATAAATAATTTTTTTTTATTTACATCGTTATACTGTGTAACTGATAAAAACAACTTGGAATATTACATAGATAAAGACTTCAATCTATAATTTTATGTTTAAATTTGCAGATCGTTTTAAATGGTATACTATATACCTAAATAAATAGATTAAAGATGAAACATAATTTATTTTGATAAAGAATATTTTAATGAGCATTACGCGCGGCAGTGTATTTGTGTAGATATTTATTTGTAATTATATGATTACATTTATTCATTAAATGATTTAATTCACAATTTCTATAATCAATATATTACGTATATAATTAGTTAAGGTTTGTGTTGTACTAAATGCTATGAATATTAAAAATATATTATCTTTGTTAAGTTTGTAAACAATATAAAAACATTTTTTTCTTTTGATATCTACTAAATCTTACTACCATCCATTTAATGTGAATTAGTTGTAATAATTGCAGTATTAATTAAATATAAGAATTGTATAAAAATAATTAAGATGTATTGAATAGTACAAAAATAATTAAAATGTATTGAATATTGTTAAATAATTGAATATATATTGCAAGCAATTATATACGTTTTAATTTTTTTAAAGTTAAAACACATTATGTTTGCTAAATTAGTTTATTTTTTAAAATACTAAATTTATGTATGAAATACAACATTTTGGGCAATAATAAATACCTAAGTAAGTTTAAGTAAATGTATAGATGTATTTAATGTAGTAATTATTTTGACATTTGAAACATATTCAATTTATATTGTTTACCAATGATATTGATAAATGTTTGTTTGTTGATTTTTGTTGGCAAAATATTTTGAATCCCATTTATAAATACATTATAAGCCTTTAATAAAACTTTTCTTACTGCAGATATATTTCTGGGAATAATAGTTTTTTTGTAAACTTATTAAACACTGAAGAACTATAAACATTAACATTTTTTCCGGAGGGGAATAGAGTGATTATTGTTAATAAGTCCTCGGAGACTCTTAATATGCACTTAGTATTTCCCCTAAGTTAATAGTTTTTACACGCATGAAGAAAAAATGTATCTATACACACTTTTAACTTCAGCTTAAACAATTTTCATGAATGTCTTTATTTAAATTCTTTTCAAAAACCACTTTTCTTTTATTTTATTATAACTACGATAGCGTAGGAAATGATGAACAATTAACTATTGTTATAATTACGGAATTGCGTGATGTCTACACATGATTAATTAAAACGATTTCAGAATAATATTATAATTTCATAATATTTATGAAATTTTTGAACAAATTTAAAATAATAATCGTAAGTCGACTTACCCGTCAGAGTCGTCAATATCGCTTACATCCAATACTTCTTCTTGAACAGGGGGGCTATCGTATATCAATGTTTCAACCATAGATCCTTTTGAACTACCGAACGAAACCCTGAAAACAAAACATAATATACTTAATATTATGCGGTTTAAACACTTTGAACTGCAACTGTTTGATGAGAACAATAGGTACAGATAATTCATCTCCGATTGTAAAGCCTCCTGTATTTTTGTTACGTCATTTATTTTACGTAAACAAGCATAACAATGTATATCTAATGTAAACTGACATTGGTGAAAAATATTTATGTATATATAAATAAATAATAACAATAATGAAAAAAAGAATAATAACATTAACTGGAGTACCCGGGCGTGGTTATTGTGACCGAATTTTCTTATCTTGACTGGGTCACGGCGTTTCGTGATCAATAGTAATATAATAATTATTATATACACGCAAAAGAGTATATTATAAAGGTACTCGGCGAGGGACGCACGAGTATAGTTCGTCTTCCTAACAAACGGTGTTGTCAGCTGGCCGTTACGGTTTCCGTATTTCTTTTTACGTTTTCTTCTTGTATTCTTTTTAAATTTACTAACAAGAGAAATTATACAATCTGCACAATGCTATATAATATATGGCGCGGTGCAATAAATACGCACCAACGACATTAAAATACTATATCCATATAATACAGTGCACACAAATGCAAGAGAATGGTCTCACTCCGTGCGTGTTATAAACTCGAGTCTTAAATAAATTAATGATATATTCTCACGACTGTGTGTTGCGAGCTTAATAAAAACTGTCAATTGAAACATTGCGATGACATGTATAATGCCACAGTGGAACGTTGTACCTGTATAGTTTCTCGGAAAAAAATAAATGCCCGCACATACGCGCGTGACGGGATAATATTCTGGATATTTTTTCGTTCGGCTTATGGTGGAAGATAATACAATTTTATTAAAAATAACGTGGAATGCACCTAAGTATACAAATATTGTAGAAAAAAGAAAATCCAAGACTGCCGTAATACATACGAGTACAATATCTATATTACTATATGGAATCGATACTTTCGTCGTGCCACATCCGCCCCCGATGGTCTAAGAATTCAAGGCGATGGTAATACTATCACAGTTTAAATTTCAACTTTCTTAATGCTAGTAAAAAATTATATATGTATATTATATATTTATACATCGTCGTTAACCATGTAGGTACATTGTTGTTGCTCAATACAATACATTAGTAACATTACCATACGGAGTTAGATGCGTCAAACAAACAGTTTTATTTATTCTATTAAAATATGATATATACCTTAAATACTTATATTCAATAGTATTCGTATACTTATAGGCTTATATTATGATCGACAGTCGATACTTTAAATAATATTCATACATTTATTATTGTCACTATAATAAGTGTCATTGCGCAAATTCGTGGGCAGAATAATACATTAATTACACTGTTTTTTCTTTAACACAATGCACAACCTTCGAATGCTGTTTTTAAAATCTTTATTGGTGTCGTACGCTAATTGATGATTTTCTGAATATTAGACACGTTTTTTTTTTTTTTTAATAAATCACAGAATAATCGACATCACTGAAATCTAATTTTTTCACACAAAACATTAATATTTTTTGAGAAATGTAGTCAGAGTTAAATAATATATGTACTTACATATTGTATTATTATGTTTAGCATAATTGACGTTTCGTGAATAATCATTTTATGTATTTATATGAATATTAATTTTACTTGCTTAAACTTAGATTTAGCAAAATAAACTGTGAGCTTTAGTCGTGTTGACATTTTCTGAAATTGTTTTTATTTGTGAATACTGCGATTTTAGTTTTTATTTCAACATTTCTCAGACCACCATTCTTATTATTATTAATAATTTAATCTTAAAATAATCTTCTGTTAAGAATTTAAAATTTAAATTTAAAATTATGGTTTTATATTTTAAATTTAAAACTTAATATATACTTTATCTAAAATAAAACATTTTTAAAACTTTTTTTTTCAATTCTCTAAATTATATTATTTCCCAATAAATAATTATAATACTATGTTTAAATTTTAAACTTTACCAAGAAAACTGGTTAATACTTCACTTAAATAAATTGTTTATCAATGATTAGCGAAAATTAGAAAAGACAGAATTTGAAAAGTTTTTTAATTACTAAAGTGTTTAATAATTTTTTGTTTAAAATTGAGGTCTCTTGATATCTATGTATTATAATTAAATTTAAATTTAAAAATATTAGTAGTTTTTAAAAATAAAATTATTCACAGTGGCAAAATTAAATTTTATGCAATGAATATGAATTAATTTCTTATTAATTCTAAAATATCTTATATGGAATAACGTGGGTTCAGTATAGTAATAATAATTTAATAACTTATCTATTTACTTATAATATCCACCTCGGACACCCACTTATTTTAAACATTTTATAGTATTAATAATTTATGATGATTGGCTTAAAATCTGTTGTAGTTATTTTAAATATTTATTTATTACTATTTATTAAAAAATATTAATATAGTAATCAGGCGTTATAAAATTTACATCAATATATATATATATTTTTTTTTTAACCAATTAATAAATACTTTAATTTTACATAAACGAATAGTAAGAATATAACAAACAATACATTTTAAAATTGTATTTATTTGATTAGGTATATAATAATTAAATTCAATAAAATACCTATAATCTTGTATTTCTATAAATCAAAGTTGGTTTTGTGCGTACACTAGTATATCTAATATAAAGTAAAATTTTTGGTAAAAACCATGATACAAAATCTGACTAAAATTTTAAATACACATTGGCTAATATTTATTTGAACAAATGTGTTTGAGTTAACAATAATAAAATTACATTTTACAACATATATAACTAAATTAAATGTAAATCCTTTAACAACATAAATAAAAAGTAGATACACATTATATTCTAAGCAGCTGTTCTATGGCAATTAAAATTAATCAAATAACACAAGACTAATTAACTACAACAATCATTATGATATACTCTTTTGCGTTTAAGCGGGTTTGTTGTGCATTTTTTAGTGTTTCTTAGCAACACCAGTAATTTTAATGCACTTTTCAGTTCATTTTTGACGTTTTTTATGATCGCTTTTTGTTTGCATTTGTTCGTGTCAAAAATTGACGCTGTTTAACCTAAAATACCTAACCCATTTCCTTATTTATGATACAAATTCAACTTTAATCTGTTATTTATATATAAAATATTATAATATATTAAATTTCAGTTTTGACTATTGATTTATTTCTAATTTAACAGAGAGAAACCTTATTATTTTTAATTTTCGTCCAATATGACGTGTTTTACCCTAACATTTAACTTACATCCTGTTTTAAATTAGTTATACCGTTCGTACGGATAACGGATGCGTATCTATAAATATATACATTTATATTTATATATTTGTGTATACTTTATAAAATAATAGACATATATAATAAATTATATGGTATCGTACGACGTACGGGTCAAACTGTCTCATTATCATACTTTTCTCCGAAAAAATATTCTCAATATTTATTTTTCTGTTTGTTTAATGCATATAGGTACGTATAATACTCACAATTATCTGAAAGAGCATGTGAGAAGTACGAAACCACATATTATACATGTATATGTACCCACTAACATTCTGAATCTATGCGATGAACCATTTTCTACTTCAGTATATCACGATTTTGGTACCAACTTAATATACAAAGATATATTGTATATTTATACATAATAATATATACTTTCACGTAGAATATTTACTCCAATATAATAAAACTTTTTTTTTTTTAAACGATTCGTTATCGAAATTATCGTTTTACTTTTACAACTGCATGACTTAGGTCTATTATTATTATTTTTTTAAAATGTGATTAGACATAGCTATTCAATTTCAATAAACTTAACATCACCAACTTAATAATATGATAGCCGAAAGCATTCATAACAGCCTTTCACGATGATTCGTATGAAGCGTTCTATTTTTGGCTATAGCCGGAAATTGAAAAGTTTATTCTGAATGCATAACACATTTTTGATGTTTCATGCGCATGCACGATATTGTACCTATATTTTATGCACCTAAACGTTATTCATTATAACTACAGTTAATACTCGTAATTTGATAAAATTGTAATTAAACGTTTTAGTGATCAGTTTTGGTCTCGTAATTTTGCCAGTTTCACGATCCCTTCCGGATAGGACGTTAGATTGAAAATAAAACGACACACTCTTGTGTGATGACGTAATTATACTACTGTGCGAATGGTCACGTAGGAAGATCGAAGTAACTTGCTTAAAAACTCGTGACAAAATAATATTGTCGTGCAACCCGATTCTAAGTTCATCTAAATGTACTTATGCGTAATAAAATCGTCATATTTCTACAGCGAGGCAGGATGAACTAAGACGTTCGTGTATTAATACACGTCATAATATGTTGAAAGAAAAATTAGCCTTTGTATAATGACCACGGGCTGATGTCAAAGAAATATAGCGTCACAGTTTTGCTGTTGACATGACATAAAACTTTAGACTTAAATAACTATTATTAAGCTGTAAAAATAAACAAAAGTTATTTATAATGTCTAGTTAAATTTGCAATTAAAACATTTTTATACATCCGGTCGTATATATTGAATATGTGCGTAAATATAATTTAATGGGTTGCATAAAAAGTAACAATTTTAGTTGTAATTATACCTATGATTTAACTTGAGGAAAACTCAGGATAACCATAGATTATAGGTATTATTTTATATATTATCATTTAAATAAATAAGTAAAGTTTTGTGTAGATACATTTTCAAATGTAAAACATTTAAAATACTAGTTATAATATTACTTAGATTATAATTATATAAATTAATATTCATATATGTATAAAATTGTAGATATCAAAGCGTCTAACAAAATGAACAACTATTGATTTTTCATTTTTAGAAACAAATTTTCGCAATTTTTATTTTCTAAAATAAAAATATATCGATAATATATTACTTAGTTGTTATTATCACATTAAATAATTACTTAATGTTGTTCA